ACAAGTGGGAATGACGATTGAAATTTCAGCATGGGAGATATCCAAACGAGACAAGTTTTTTTGGAATTGTAGCCACTGAGGAAATTGCGGACCAAGATGCCAGTTACGCAATTCAATACTTTCACAGTGGAAAGGAGGAATCCAACTTGGATTTGGTTTAAACGTTAACATGTTGTTAGATGCCCTAAAAAATCTCAACCTCGTGAGATTAGAAAAGTGCATTTCTGATATATGTCCTTCCAACATATTGTTGCAAACGTCTAAATGTTCCAAATTCCCAAGTTGTCCTAAACTTTGAGGAAGAGTTGCATTCAATCGATTGTTTAAAACATCAAGAAATTTCAATGATGACAACTTCCCTATTGAGAATGGAATGGGACCAGAAATGAAGTTTCCAGAAAGGGAAAGGTATGCCAAATTTTTAAATTGGCCGAGTTTATCAGGTAAATGGCCAGAAAGTTTGTTAAATCCCATGTTTAATGACTCTAATCGATCCAAAACTACATCTAGACAAACTTTCTATGATTTCTGATACCTCATGAACAATTCCATTATTTGACAAATCCAACTCCCTCAGATTGCAAAGACTTTCCAAATATTTTGGTACTATAATTTCAAGCAAGTTACCTGAAAGATCAAGATGAGTAAGAGAGCTCAAGTTTCCAATGGCACTTGAAAAATTACCTTGCAGACCGACGCTACGAAGACCAAGAAATTGAAGCTGGTTTAAATTAGACAGCCCGTTGAGTGTCGATGATGAAGAGAATGAATTCCAACTAAGATCAAGAAATTTGAGAGAAGACATGTTTTGAAAACCATTGGGAATCACACCTTCAACTCCATTAAGGGTAAGATCAATGGACACAAGACTACAAAGACTGAATATCCATGTAGGCACCAAAGACAACTTGTTGGCAGACAGATCGAGAACAGCAAGAGATGTGCAATTAACACTGATTGGAGATGGATCATTATATAGATAGCATCCTGACAAGTGTAACTCTGCCAATAAAGGAAGTTTATTTGTTATCTGCAGCCAATCAGTTGCTTTACCAAGATCTGCATGACTCAAATCAAGATACTGCAGAGACGACAGACCAGAAACCCATTGAAGAGTTTTATCTTCAAATAGGGAATTGTGTCCAAGATCAAGATAATGCAGTTTTGAGAGATTTCCAAGATTATGGGGAATTGCTCCTTGGAAATTTGCCCAAGAGAGGTTAAGATATATCAAACTCTTCATGGAACCAATGAATTCGGGAATTGCCAAGCCTCCAAAGTCGTTGTTGCTTAATTCTAGGAAACTGAGATGTTTTTGTTTGGATTTGCTTTGAATCTCAGAATCCCACATCAAAAGTTAAGTGAGTTTGAGTTTGTCTTGTATCCCACATCGGGAGTTTAGTAAAGGTATAAAGGGTTTCACCCTTTATAAATAAGATGTTTTGGTTTTAGTTTAGTAACTCCAGAGAGTTAGACACCAAGAGAATAGCTAAGTGAGTAGGCTATTAAAAGGGTGTAATTGGGTTTTGGGTTAAGTTTTGAGTAAGGAGTTTTAGGAGACTTTTCTCATTCTAAAAGTCTCACAATTGTAAAGATTTATTTGATAGTGGATTAGGTTTGGAGTAGGTCATTTTGAGTTGGGCCGAACCAAATATATTTCTGTGTTCTTATTCTTGATTTGAGCTTGTTATTTTGTGTGTGTGGTTGCTGCGCGTGGGATGCCAGTTTGGAAGCTTGGAAGGGTCAATGAAAATTGAGGCTACAGCCCATCGCAAGTCCTTTTTCTTTTCAACTAAAGGACAGACCAGACAGAGCTTAGCCCCTCTCTTTTACTTTTATTGATTCTATCTCCGATCCCGATCCTTAGCTTAGTACAGTCCAGCCAGCCTGATAGTAAGTCATTCGGAAAGATAGGGATGCGTGTTGTAAGACAATCAATCAATTCCTCACCTCAAGTGCGGTGTGTTTCAATATGCATCCAAACCTAAGGCCTATGTCCTATAGTTAGTATGTTTCGATCTAGAGTTATCATTCTTCGCTCAATGGTTTCGAAAGGAAAGCAAGTTCTGAAGCCAACGAGTTACATAAAAGGAACGACTGACTAAGAGTAAGAGAGGGAAGATCATTTGTGTGTTCTTATTCTTGATTTGAGCTTGTTATTTTGTGTGTGTGGTTGCCGCGTGTGGGTATTGTGGTATTTCCCAACAAGTGGTATTAGAGCGAGGTTCGAGGTTCATGGGTCCAAGAGATCGTGAAGCAGTGTTTGAAGATGTCTGAAGAAGGTATGTCTGGTATGTCTATGCCTAAGTTTGAGATTCTGTTATTTGATGGAAAGAGTAATTTTATGTTATGGCAAAGTACGATTCAAGATCTGTTAGTACAACAAGGGTTGGATCAAGCATTAGAGAGTAGCAAGCCTGAGGGAATGTCTGATGCTAATTGGAATAGGATTCAAAAGAAGGCTGTTAGTACTATGTGATTGGCGTTAGCTCCAGAAGTAAAGTACAGTGTGTTGACTGAGAGTACTCCAAAGAGTTTGTGGGATAAGCTTGAAGGTATTTATGCTTCGAAGTCGTTGACTAATAGATTATGTTTGAAGATGGATCTGTATTCTCTGAAGATGGAAGAAGGTATGAGTCTTCATAATCACTTGAATGAGTTTAATAAATTGGTTTCTCAATTGCTAGCGATTTCTGTTGATGAGTTAAAAGATGAAGAGAAGGCTTTAATTTTGCTGTCATCTTTACCCAAGTCTTATAGGCCTTTAGTTCAGACTGTGTTGGTAAGCAGGTCTGCTTTGAAGTTGGATGATGTGACTGCCCTGTTGCGTGAGAATGAAAGGTTTATGGGAGCTCGGAACTCATCACCTGGGGGGAGTACACTAGCTGTAGAGGGTTTTGATCAAGGGAGGACTCAAAAGAGGATTGATGGATCGAGATGGAGATCTAAGTCAAGAGACAGAGATTACAGTGATGTAGAATGTTATTATTGTGGTGAGAAGGGACATATCCAAGTACGCTACAGGAAGCTGAGAAGGGATATGGTTGCTTTCAAAAGGGCGAATGATGAGAAGAAATCAGATGAAGAAAAGAGTGATACTGTTGCTGTCGTGTCTGATGATGATGATGTTGTTTTGACAACTTGTGTGGATGAGACTCAGACTTTGAAAAGTGATAAAGGTTGGGTTTTAGATTCAGCTGCTACAGTTCATGTTTGCAATGATAGGAGCTGCTTTATGGAGTTGAATGAGAATGAAAAGTATGGGGATATTGTGGTTGCTAACGAAAAAAAGGTGCAGATTCAAGGCATTGGGAGTGTTTGCCTTAGATCTCACAATGGTGTTATTAGGACACTTCGTCATGTAAGGTATGTACCAAATTGTCACTACAATTTGATTGCTTTGGGTGAGTTAGCTTCTCGGGGGTACACATTTTATGGTAGTAATGATTGGTTGAAAGTGTATAAGAATGATAGTGTGATTCTACAAGGGAATAGGGTCAATCACTTGTACATGTTTGATGGAGGCTCAGTTGCTGGAATGCCTGTGATGAAAGAAAAGAAGAAAGGTAAGCATGTTAGCTTTGCAGATACTGTTGAAGTGTTTGGAGATTCAAGTCAAGGGAGGATTTGTTGGGATTTGCCTTGAATCTCAGAATCCCATATCAAAAGTTAAATGAGTTTGAGTTTGTCTTGTATCCCACATCGGAAGTTTAGTAAAGGTATAAAGGGTTTCACCCTTTATAAATAAGATGTTTTGGTTTTAGTTTAGTAACCCCAGAGAGTTAGACACCAAGAGAATAGCTAAGTGAGTAGGCTATTAAAAGAGTGTAATTGGGTTTTGGGTTAAGTTTTGAGTAAGGAGTTTTAGGAGACTTTTCTCATTCTAAAAGTCTCACAATTGTAAAGATTTATTTGATAGTGGATTAGGTTTGGAGTAGGCCATTTTGAGTTGGGCCGAACCAAATATATTTGTGTGTTCTTATTCTTGATTTGAGCTTGTTATTTTGTGTGTGTGGTTGCTGCGCGTGGGTATTGTGGTATTTCCCAACAGTTTCAACTCGATCAAAGAAGGATTTATTTTGCCTCCTAGTTTTGACCGAATGTAAACATCCCATTCAACATCCCATTCAGCATGCGGTGCATGCACATCAGGTCTACTTGAAAGAAGCCCCAAATGCAGCTCTTTGACATGGCCAGTCAAGTTATTGCAGAAAACACCAAGCCATTCACAGCAATCCTCACCTTCAACCCAAGAAGATAGCCGGTTTGATTGATCAATAAGGTCTTGCTTGAACTTCAAAAGGGCTTGTCTCTCACTTTCAATGCAAAGCACATTGCAATTCCCATCGCAAAAGCTAATAATGGTGACTGCGATGACAAGAAGAAATCCAAATGAGGAAATTGTAACCGCTCTCATGGTTGCATACCGATCATTGCTACCAACACCTAATATATAAAGTTAAAGAAAAATATCTTCCATCACATCAAGTCAAGTCAAGCAAGTCTATGGAGTTTGAATTTTCCACAAAAACCAATTTCCAGCTTGAATTTTCCACGGAAAGCATTTATGGTCCGTTTAAATTCTACTATTGTAGAAAGAAGAACAAAAAAAACTAGACAAGTAAATCAACTCTACGGAGTTAGAATTTTCCACAAAAACCAATTTCCAACTTGACTTTTTCACGGGAAGCATTTATGGTCCATTTAAATTGCATATATGGTCCATTTAAATTCTACAATTGTAGAAAGAACAAAAAAGACTTAACAAGTAAGTCAAGTCAACCAAGTCTATGGAGAATTTTCCACAAAAACCAACTTGAATTTTCCACGGAAAGCATTTATGGTCCATTTAAATTCTACAATTGTAGAAAGAAGAACAAAAAAAGACTTGACAAGTAAGTCAAGTTCACGGTCAAACAATTAACTCTTTATGTCTTAGAAAACAGAAAAAATGAAAAAAAAATGAAAATTTAGAAAAAATAAAATTACAAAAAAATTTAGAGAAGCTAAGGACTCTTTTCCTTATCATTTTTATGCTATAGTTACTTTCTTTTTTTCTTTTAAATCAAGTTTTAATATATGTATGGCGCCTAAAATTAAGAAATTTGTCAAAAAAAGAATATTAATTGAAATATAAAAGTGGTTTTATATAAAAATCTATGAAAGTAAAACGTTTAATTTGCAAATTACAATTTCAGTTTTATCTTTCATAGTTAACACAATTATTTTTTTATCCATTAACCTTTAATACAATTTTAATTACCAAATATTAGTATGATTTTCACAATTCATAATTATAGGTGTTAAAATTTGAATTTTAAATTTATTGAATGTTATATTTTAAAAATAATTGTACAAATCAATTTAAATTGAATTTTAAATTTTTAAAACAAGATTTCAATGCGTGATTTGATTGTACTTAGTATGATCATATAGTATCACCAAACCCTTTTTTTATATCCAACTAGCAATGGAACTAACCCCTCATAGAAGCCATGGGAAAAAAATTCTTTAAATTATAAAGAGAGAATTTACAAATTTAATAACGTGTTGTATTTTGATTGATTGAATCTACATTTGATGTAATAAAAAATGTAATAATTTTTTTACATAATTGAACGATATTAATTTAAGTAATTATAATTTTATTATTTCGTATTAAATGATATATGAACTCGAGTTGTATAATTTAAATGATATATATTTAAATATAAAAGTGTTAGGCTAGTTTTGTTTGCCTTATACCACCAAGCAAATGGGGTATTAGAATTTTGACAGGCCTAAACAACCCTGCTGCTGCTAATAAACAAAATAAAGCCTTCCCCTTCTCCCTCCTTCCTACAAATATCTTCTACATCTATTTTTCCTCGCCATGCTCTCATCAACCTCTCTTAAACCCATCGCCAATTGCCAAAATCCTTTATTTTCTTCATTTTTGAACCAAAACCATCTCTTTTTTTCCTTCACCTCCCTTTCCCATCTTCTAAAACACATCTCAGCGATTCTAATCCCCAGCAACCCCCCAAACCTCTACAGCAACAACTTTACTAACCTTTTCGGCCACCCCCATCTCCATTGCCTGCCCGATTCCGTTCGCTTGACCCATGAATAAGAGTCCTCGACTATGTTCTGTTAATTGTGATCAAGTATAATTCAAGTATCATGCGATGGAAATAAAATTGTGATCCAAGTATAATATAAATGAAATTGATCAGTTCCTCTCCTAACCAAAAATGTATAATCTGATAAAACATGACACTGAAGCAATTTTTCCTTCAGGAGTGCCTCAAATTTCTATTGTAACGTACATTAGCAGTGACTAACAAAGTGGACAGAGTCCAAATTGCCATGTAGAAACATAAAAAAAAAAATACAGTACTTCATCATTCCCAGGTTCTCCATCAATTTCTTTTGGCTGACCACAGTCATCGATCACAACTGGTTGCAAAGTCCTCCCACTGTCTGAGCCAGCTTTTTCCATCTCCTTGACAACGCTTATCCATCCACTACTTTACCAAACGCAACTTGCTTTCCATCAAGCCATGGAGTCTTCTCCATGCGTATAAAGAATTGGGAGCCATTGGTGTTTGGTCCTGCATTGGCCATTGACAAACAACCAGGTCCAGTATGTGTAAGCTTGAAATTCTCATCTGCAAATTTCATGCCATAGATTGCTTCTCCTCCAGGGCCATTCCCCTTTGTGAAATCTCCACCTTGACACCTGAAGCTCGGGATGGTTCGGCGAAATGCTGACCCTTTACAGTGCAATGGCTTCCCAGACATTCCGTAACCCTTTTCCCCAGTGCAGAGTGTTTGTAATTATATCGTGGGCTAACACAGTCAGTCAATTAATCCGGATTTAGGTCAATTAATGTCAAATTACAAATAATTATAGTGGTATCATATTGTAATATATTCAAACATATAGTACGATATTAATTAAGTATGATCCCAATTTAATTTTGTATTTGAATCATAATGTGATGGATCAATTTTGACTAATATATATATATATATATATGAAGCCGGTCCATTAGATTTTATAACTTTAATTTGATAGGTAAATAGCAGTTCTCTCTTTTTTTATTATGCAAGTCGTTGATTGAGCTCGATAGGCAGCATAAAAAAGCTCATGATGGTAAAAACACATCCATGGGCTTGGATTTAGGGGGATTGAGTTCTCTTCCACATTAAAAACAGTGTTAGTTATAAATTACGATAGTGATTCGGTGAGTTTTCAGCCACATTCAATTAGAGCTTCATCTGATTCAAAATTGGGTCCAAATTGCCTTGGCAATGGCACATATTGCTCAAGGAAAAGCTGGTTAATATTCTACTTTCACGAAAAAGGATGTGGTGAGATATGGACAGAAATCTTATAAATTCGAAAAAAATATTTTCTTTTATACCAAGAAAAAAAGAAATGAGAATACAATTTGGCGCAACGACCTCTATTTTCAAGTGTTCTTTTAAGCAAAAAGGAAAATAAAACTACTACTAATATATGATTAACATAGATGATAACTCTTTATGAATTCAAAATAACTAGAAATTGTTATCATATATATATGTATATATAGAAGAATGAAAATTTGTAGAAATGTTCAACTAGTATGTAATATTATTGTTGGCTAAAATTATGCATAGCACTAAACTTTGATTGTACATCATCTCAAAGATTTACAAATTCACAGACGATATCCAACAAAAAATTTGGTCCTCCTCCACTATCTCAATTGAAAAGGGAGAAGAAACAAAAAAGAGAAGAAAAAATGTTGGTGTTTGAACTCAATTATTCACCAATAAGGAGTTGCACTCTCAGATATACTTAGAAGCTTCTCCAAATAATCAGCTCCTAAATCCTCAAACACCAGGATATTTTCCCTCCCCATTTCCTTCTTTCTTGATCTTCGTGTTCCCTGATCTTTTGCTCTTCATGGAGTACCTTTTCTAAATTGTCAAAGTAGGTGAACAACTTTCTTCAAGTCCATAGTTCATTTCTTGAAGTGAATCATAAACTGTATCCATTGGAAAACCGAGTATCACCATCGGACCTCGCATTGCGAGTGTAGCTTGATCATACACTAGCTGTAGCCTCAGCTATATCCAAGGTTCCAGGCCAAAGCCCAACACCATTCCTTATGGAATCCCTTATCTCAGCTGCCTATTTTCCCCATGGCCTCTTCCTAACTCCTCTATACTAAACCTCCTTTCCTGTCTCATCTTCATTTGCATTCAAGTTCACTTAATGATCCTTTCTAAAACTATTAACGGATGTGGTATCGAAAGTGTTTTCCTATGCTTGATTTAGGACTCCCAAAGGAAGATTACACGGGAGTCATTTCCATTGAAAGGGTTTGGTTATGGAGATAATTGAATGATTCTAGTGAGAAATTTTTTGAGAAATATAGGAAGAAGAGGATTCAAGAGACAATTGGAGATTTGGGTATTGAAAAAATGAAGAGTCCATGTATGAAAATCAAGTCGTTCTTATTATGGAAACGATTCTTCTTCGATCTTATAATTAATTCTCTTTGATTTTGCATTTTGGTTTTGGTCATAGGAAATGAAATTTGAAGCTCAGTGTTATATATACAGTAATTACAAGCAAGGGAGGGAAAGGCTATATTATTCAAATATTTATTTTAAAAAAGTTTTAAAAAAAAAAAGAAAGAAAGAACAAATTAAAGAAACGATGGAAAGAGAGTAAAATTATATGAACAAGTTATTAGCGTCGAACATCATTATTTAGTCGTTAATAGTAGAATCAACAGCTGAGTCAAAAGGAATACTTGTCGGGGCATTGTGGCCAGATCAAGTTAAAATTCTCTTACATCACCCATGATGTTTCACTTTTATGTCCTGCCTATAAGTTATATTTTTAGCTAATTAAAATAGTAAATCACTATGCTTAGAATGATCAATTACAATGTTAATTACCTTATATTGATGAACAAGATTTGATTAATATAGTCAGGTTATAGTTGAGTTTGTCGTAATTTTATTTTTATACCAAATAAATTAAATTTGAGAATTAAAAAAAGAATTACAAGTGCATAAATTTTAATTTTAATCCGATTAGAAGTACTTTTTAAAATATTTGTATAAATCACTTAGATTAGACTTTGAATTTATAAAAAGATTACTTTATATATATATGCTTTTCATTTAAATTATATAATATAATCATATTATTGACACGGGTTAATTTTAATTTTTCACGTACCACTAATAAGTAAATGCTGTTGAAAAAAAATTTACCGATCTAATAATAACGTATAATATAAAATAAATAATCAACATTTTTTAAAAATATTATTTTATGGTGTGATTTTAATAAAATAAAAAAGATATATTTTTACATTGAATAATTATTTCATATAATCCTTCTTTTATTAATTATGTCAAAATTTATCATAAATAAGTTTCTTAAACTAGCATAATTGATGTTATAATAACTTTTTGAATTGATAATAAGATGTAAAAGTCAGTGGTCACTTTCTAGGTGGCATTATAGGTTAGTTTTACCTCTTCCCTCAAGTGCTACCTTTCTTTTTTTTTTTTCTTCAAATTCACACCCTACATAAGCATAACCTTCCAGCCTTAATTGGATGATTTGCCACTCTTTAATTAGTCTCTAATATTTTATTGGCCAAAAATTTGATTGTTCATATATACATTGGTCATTATTTTATATATTTTTATCCATTACTAGAATTTGATCCCACTATTTATAATTATTTTTAATAAAAATAAAATAAAATTTTAACTTACATATTGAATCTTATAAATATATCAAAACTAAAAATATTTAATTTATTATGGTATCGTTTTTTGTTGTTGGCTTTTTTTGCTATGATGTGTACTTTTATTTTTTATTTTCAAATTATAAATTATTTGATCAAATCCAAGATTTTTTTAATTTATTTTAAATCATAAACATTTTTTAAAACTTTTAGAAAAAGAGAAAGAAAAATGCGATTAAATTTTTTTATGATGATTTAGATTTAAAAGAAAAATACGACTAAAATTTTTTATGATGATTTAGATTTGATTTTTAATTTTTTAATTTTTTTGCCTTTTTATATTTTTATATTTATTATTATTTTCAAATTTTTGATAAATAGAACTAAAAAAATACATAAAATAGGGTAAAAAGTATTAGGCTTGATTCACTAATGGGTTCGTAAGGTGGGGTGAATTGACAAAAACGGGTTGGTTAAATCCGGCCCATTTCGCATGCTTTTTTTTTTTTTTTTCTGTAAACCAATATCCTCCAATTTTTGCATAGTTACAATAAAAGCTTTCAATTCATTTGGATTTATAAAAATCTGTAGTTTTTGAAATTTTACTTTTGAATAACCAAAATCATAAATAAGACTAGAATAAGAAATATTTCAAAATAAAAGATTTATAAAAAATTATACCTTCAACTCATATTTAATTAAATTCAAACACACACATATGAGTCAAATACATTAACACAATTTTATTTCCTTTCGATAAATTACATGTAATGCTACTTCCAAATCCGAATACACGGATTAAGTTAAGAACATGCAAATCAAGTTACTGCATTATCAAACACACCAAAATGAGCTGCCATTACAAATAATTACATACCAATAGTAGCCCAAAACACGTATAGCTTATCACCAATTTGCTCCAGTTTTTGATAATAAGCAAACCTCCAAGACCTGATGAAAAACAGGGGAGCCACAACTCCCCAAAACCCCATCACAAATCCAAGCACTATGCTCACATAAAGCCAATTCACCTTAGATCTTTTCTTTCCTCCACTGCTACCTCCATTTGTAAAATCAGGTGTTTCGCCATTTCCGCTGCAATTTTTAGTGACTGGAGGTCCGCAAAGATGATTGCCAATGTAAGAAGACCTGTCAAAGCTTTGGAGCTGGGTGCCTAATGGGATTTGTCCTGTCAAGTTGTTGTAGGACAAGTTGAAGTGATTCAAGAAATTCAAATTGGAGAAACTTGAAGGGATTTCACCATGGAGTCGGTTAATCGACAAGTCAAGAGATTCCAACACCTCCATATTGCCAATGTTCTCTGGTATCTTTCCTGTTTGGAGATTCTTCGACAAATTTAATGACCGCAGCCCCATAAGATTTCCAAGTTCTTTGGGGATCTCTCCTGTGAGACTATTAACTGAAAGGTCTATGCTAGTAACAAGTCTAAGTGTGGTACTGTATTCATCCTCCCTTCCTCTTGTCACCAATAACGCACCCAAATAAAACAGGTTATCAAAGTCTAATTCGAAAGCCCAATAACTTAGGTGTTGGTCGGAGGGTTTTGTGGCCATGGCACTTAAGTTACTAAAACATTTTGGAATAGCTCCTGAAATGTTGTTATAACCAAGATCCAAGACCTGAAGAGAATTAAGAGTACATATTTGATCAGGAATATAGCCTTGAAAGTTATTTGAACGGAGGTTTAGCACCACGAGTTTTGAGAGCTTGTCTCCAATCCATGCTGGAATACTCCCCGTTAATTGGTTTTCACTAAGATCAAGAATAAGCGTAACATTTAAATGCTGCAATGAGGATGGTACTTCTCCAAATAAGTTATTGTTACGAAGGTTTAATAACTCAATATGAACCATATATCTCAAGGATATAGGAATTGTCCCAGTTAGATCGTTATTTCCTAAATTTAAGACTTGCAAACTTCCCAAAATTTTCCAACAATCTGGAATTGCACCTGACAGAAGATTTGATTCAATGTCAAGAATGCTCAAAGTTTCCAGTTTAGTTTGGGAATTACAAAGAAAATTAGATAAGGATCCTGAAATTAGATTGTTAGTCAAAAATAAATACTCCAAATCAGAGGATGCCTGCGGCAATGGACCTGTGAATTGGTTGGATCTCAAGTCAACCATCGAACTCATCAATAAATATGAAATCTCCCCGCCTAGTTGGTTATGGGAAAGGTTTAGACATTCAAATTGAGTTGAAAGGTTCCAAAACCAAGTGGGAATGACACCTGAAATTTCAGCACAGGAGATATCTAAAAAAGACAAGTTCTTTTGGAATTGTAACCACTGAGGAAATTGCGGACCAAGATGCCAGTTACCCAATCCAATACTTTTACAGTGAAAAGGAGGAATCCAACTTGGGTTTGGTTTAAACGTTAACAAGTTGTTAGATGCCCAAAAAAATTTCAATCTCGTGAGATTAGAAAAGTGCGTTTCTGATATATTTCCTTCCAACACATTATAGCTAACGTCTAAATCTTCCAAATTCCCAAGTTGTCCTAAACTTTGAGGAAGAGTTGCATTCAATCGATTGTATGAAACATCAAGAACTTTCAATGATGACAACTTCCCTATTGAGGATGGAATGGGACCAGAAATGGAGTTTCTAGAAAGGAAAAGGTATGCCAAAATTTTAAATTGGCCAAGTTGATCAGGTAAATGGCCAGAAAGTTTGTTAGATGCAATATTTAATGACTCTAATCGATCCAAACTACATCTAGACAAACTCTCTATGATTTCTGATACCTCTTGATCAATTCCATTATTTGACAAATCCATCTCCCTCATAGTGCAAAGACTTTCCAAACATTTAGGTTCTATAATTTCAAGCTGGTTATGTGAAACATCAAGATGAGTAAGAGAGCTTAAGTTTCCAATGGCACTTGAAAAATTACCTTGCAGGCCGGCACTGCTGAGACCAAGGAATTGAAGTCGGTTTAAATTAGACAACCAGCTGAGTGTCGATGAAGAGAAGGCATTCCTACTAAGATCAAGAAATTTGAGAGAAGACATGTTTTGAAAACCATTGGGAATCACACCTTCAACTCCATTAGACCTCAGATCAATGGACACAAGACTACGGAGACTGAATATCCATGTAGGCACCGAAGACAACGTGTTTCTCGAAAGATCAAGAACAGCAAGAGATGTGTAATTAACACTGACTGGAGATGGATCATTATTTAGAGAGCATCTTGACAAGTGTAACTCCACCAAAGAAGGAAGTTTTTGTGTTGATTGCAGCCAATCAGTTGCTTGACGAAGATCTACTTCACTCAAATCAAGGTAATGCAGAGACGAAAGACCAGAAACCCATTGAAGAGTTTTAGTTTCAAATAGGGATTGTGTCCAAGATCAAGATAAAGCAATTTTGAAAGATTTCCAATATTATGGGGAATTTCTCCTTGGAAATTTGCTAGAGAAAGGTTAAGATATGTCAAACTCTTCATCGAACCAATGAATTCGGGAATTGTCAGGCTTCCAAAGTCGTTGTTGCTTAAGTCTAGGAAACTGATATGCTTCAACTCGATCAAAGAAGGATTTATTTTGCCTCCTAGCTTTGACCGAAGGTAAGCATCCCATTCAGCAACCGGCTCATCCGCATCAGGTCCTCTTGAAAGAAGACCCAAGTGCAGCTCTTTGACATGGCCAGTCAAGTTATTGCAGAAAACACCAACCCACTCACAGCAATCCTCACCTTCAACCCAAGAAGATAGCCTGTTTGATTGATCAATGAGGTCTTGCTTGAACTTCAAAAGGGCTTGCCCCTCACTTTCAATGCAAAGCACATTGGAATTCCCATCACAAAAGCTAATAACAGTGGCTGCGATGACAAGAAGAAATACAAACAAGGAAATTGTAACCACTTTCATGGTTGCATACTGATCATTGCTACCAACACATAATATATAAAGTTAAAGAAAAATGTTTTCCACCACATCAAGCGCTAGGAAATTTCTTCGAAGACCTCCAATTTAAATTTCCAACTTGAATTTTCCACAAAAAGCATTCATATATATGAATGAAATTCGACGTGTAGAAAAAACATAAAAAGAACTTGACAAGGAGATCAAGCCAACCAAGTCTACGGAGTAAGTCCCACGGCCAGCCAATTAACTCTTTAGGTCTTAGAAAAGAGGGAAAAAATGAAATAAAAAATGAAAAATTTAGAAAAAAATATAAAATTACATAAAATTTAGAGAAGTTAAGACTCCTTTTCCTTTTTTTTTTTTTTTTTTGCTATAGTATTTTTCTTTTTTTTTTTTGTTAAATCAAATTTTGCTATATATGTTTGTCTAAAATTAAGCAAATCGTTGAAAAAATATTAATTCAAATACAACACAGGTTTTATATAAAAATGAAGTTAAAATACTTTATGTATGTGATTTCAAACGTTTAGTTTTGCAAAATTTTAATTTATCTTAGTAGTTAACACAATATTATTTTATTAATTTTTAATATAATTTTAGTCACCGTTCATTAGCATCATTTTCTTAATTTATGACTAAATCTTAAACACGTAATGATAATGATAAATGTATTGAAAAGTAACAAACACGAAACATAAATTGGCCAGTTGATCTACCCGTAAGGAAGAAAGCTTACCTATGCTTTCCAACTTTTCATAGTAAGCTAACCACCATGATTTGAAAGAAAATTTGTGACCTCCAATTTCCAGCTTGAATTTTCCACAAAATCTTTTTTCATGGTCCATTGAAATTCGACAATTCTAGAAAAAAAAAAAAAAAAAAAGACCCCAACAAGTAAGTCAAGTCCACCAAGTCCATGGAATACGTCCCACAGCCAGGCAATTAACTTTTTAGGTCTTAGAAAAGAGAAAAATTAATTAATTAAAAATAAAAATTTAGAAAAAATAAAATTACAAAAAATTTAAAGAAGCTAAGACCCTTTTTTCTTATTATTATAGTTTTTTTTTTGTTACATCAAAATTTTGCTCTATATGTTTGGTGCCTAAAATTAAGAAAATTGTTGAGAAAAGAATTTAATTCAAATATAAACATGATTTTATATAAAAATGAAGTTATATAAAAATCTATGAACGTAAAATGTTTAATTTTGCAAATTAAAATTTCAGTTTATCTTTCATAGTTAACACAATTATTTTTAGCTAATTAAAAATTGTGTAAATCACTATGCTTGTTCAATTACATAGTTAATTAACTTATATTGATGAACATGATTTGATTAATATAGTTGGGTTATAGTTAAGTTTCCGGTAATTTTATTTTTTATGCCAGCTAATTAACTTTTTCGGTCTTAGAAACGAGGAAAAAATGAAATGAAAAATGAAAAATTTTGAACAAAAATAAAATTACATAAAATTTAGAGAGATTAAGACTCTTTTTGCTTATTATTTTTGCTATAGTTATTTTCTTTTTTTTTTTTTGTTTAATTCAAATTTTGATATATATGCTTGACTAAAATTAAGCAAATTGTTGAAAAAGAATATTAATTCAAATACAACACTGGTTTTATATAAAAATGAAGTTATAATAACTTTATATATATATATGTCATTTTAAACATTTAATTTTGCAAAATTTTAATATATCTTTCATAATTAACGCAATTATTATTTTTTATTAATTTTTATATAACTTTAATCACCGTTCATCAGCATCATTTTTTTCAATTCATGACAAAGTCTTAAACAAGTAATGATAATGATAAATGCATTGAAAAGTAATGAAGGAGCCTAAACCAACTTATCTACTCTGTATGAAAGAAATCTGGTAACCAATGCTTTCCATCTTTTCATCGTAAGCTAACCACCTTGATTTGTTGAATTACAAAGAAAACTTGTGACCTCCAGTTTTCAACTTGAATTTTCCACAAAAGGCATTTGATGGTCCATTGAAATTTGATAATTCTAGAAAGAAGAACAGAAAAGACTTGGCAAGTTACGTCCATCAATTTTATGGGAGTAAATCCCACGGCTAGACTATTAACTCTTTAGGTCTTAGAAATGATAATAAATAAATAAATAAATACATATTTTTTTAAAAAGTAAAATTACAAAAAATTTAGAGAAGCTAAGACTTTTTTCCTTATTTTTTTTGCTATAGTTACTTTTTTTTTTTGGTTAAATCAAGTTTTACAATATATGTTAGACACTTAAAATTAAGAAAATTATTGAAAAAACAATATTAATTCAAATATAAAACATGGTTTTATATAAAAATGAAGTTATATAAAAATCTATGAAAGTCAAACGTTTAATTTTGCAAAAATTAAAATTTAGGTTTATCTTTCCTAGTTAACATAATCAATTTTTTTATCCACTACAACTTTAATCAGTAATATTAGTTTGATTTTCACGATTTCTAGTTACAGATATTAAAATTTGAATTTTAAATTTATTAAATGTTACTTTTTAAATGTGATTATATAAATTTGAAATGCAAGGGTACCAAGGCATTTATAATTTGGAAAAAAGGTAATCACATGGAAAAAGTTATGAGTGATGGTTTATCTCATTTTGCTTTGAATAAATCCTTTCTCCTTGAAGCCAAGATCTATTCTTGCATCCTTTCTGTTGGGAATAGTGATTGAAATCCTATAAGAGATTTATTTGGGATTGATTAGATATTGTTTGATAGACAAAAAAACTTGTAGAAAAAGAATTTTAAGAGAAAAGGGATTTTTAATAGACAAGTTTGACTTGTAGAAGAAGAATTTTAAGAGAAAAAAGATTCTTAATAGGCAAGCTTTTATACTTATAAATAGGTAAAGTCTTTATAGAGTTAAGGATGAGAAAAATATACAAGTGAGTTATAGGTTTTTATAGGATAAACATCCCATAAGACTACTGAAGATTTACATCTTATGGGTGTGTATGTTTGAATGTTTATAAGTGGACTAGAGGAGACTGAGAGGGTCCACATAAGTATGATGCATGAAAGTGGATTAAAGGAGATTAAGAGGGTCCATATAGGTATAATGTATGGATACATATGGGTATGTGTTTGTTTGTTTTGAAATGATGCACATGAGTTTGTATTTGTTTAGGTTGAGAATACTTTATAGGACTAAAGAAGATTGAGAGGGCCTATGTGTACTAATTGTTGAGTGCTTGATTTGATGTATGTTTGTAATTCTCTACAACTAGTGAATTTTTTTCTTATCCATGAATGTAAGTCAATTAGGTCGAACTACATTAAATTATTATCTTTTGTGTGGTTGATTAATTATTTGATTTTGTTTCTACTGGTGGGATTGGATTAGACCTGAAGGTTCAAGACGTGAAAAGAGCTGAAAGTTCAAGTCATGGGAAAAGACACGCCTAGAGGAGCTCGATTTAAGAGAAGAGTTCGAGTTCTATTTTTTGTTTTTTTAAAATTATTTTATTTTATTTTTTATTAAATTATTATTATTATTATTATTATTAATATTATAGTGAAATGAAAACAGTAGACCCGGACAAAATCGGTGTCTACAATCTTTCATAGTTAACATAATTATTTTTTATCCGTTAACTTTCAATACAACTTTAATCACCAAATATTAGTATAATTTTCACAATTCATAATTATAGATGCTAAATTTTGAATTTTAAATTTACTAAATATCATATTTTAAAAATATTTGTATGAATTAATTAAGTTAAATTTTAAATTTTTAAAACAAGATTTCAATGCGTGATTTGATTGTATTTAGTATAAGTCATATAGTATCACCTAACTTTTTTTTTTATATATCCGACAAGCAATGGAACTAACCCCTCGTATAAGCCATGGAAAAAAAATTCTTTTAAAAGTATAAGGAGAGAATTTATAAATTTTAATGAAATATTGTATTTTGATTGATTGAATCTACAACTGATGTAATAAAAAATGTAATAATTTTTTTGAATAATTGAACGATATTAATTTAAGTAATTATAATTTTATTATTTCGTATTAAATTGTATATAAACTCTAGTTGTATAATTTAAACGATATATATTTAAATATAAGAGTGTTGGGCTAGTTTTGTTTTGCCTTCTACCTCCAAGCAAATGGGGTATTAGAATCTTGACAGGCCCAAACAACCCTGCTGCTTCTAATATACAAAATAAAGCCTTCCCCTGCTCCCTCCTCCCTCCTCCCTACAAATATCTTCTATCTCTATTTTTCCTCACCATTCTCTCATCAACCTCTCTCAAACCCATCACCAATTGCCAAAATCTTTCTTTTCTTCGTGTTTGAACCAACACCTATCTCTTGTTTCCTTTCAGCCCCCTTTCCCACCTTCTAAAACCCTCCTAAAACCCATATAAGCTATTCCAATCCCCAGTAACCCCAACCTCTACAGCAACAACTTTACTAACCTTTTAGCCCACCCCCATCTCCATTGCCTGCCCAATTCCATTCCTTTGACCCATGAATAAGAGTCCTATGTATTGTTAATTGTGGTCATGAATAATAAAAGTATCATGTGTTGGAAATAAAATTGTGACCCAAGCATAATAAGGTGATCAAATATATCATAAAAGAAAGGTAAGGGGGTAAAAAAATAAAACCCATGAACTAAAATTGAACATTTTTGTTATCAATCAAGCCCTTGTTAAAGAAAAAACGATTAATTGTTTTCATCCAATAAAGAGCTTAATTGAATGAAAATAGATGTATAAGAGTTTAATTGAGAGAAAATATTTATTTAAATGTTCAATTGATTTGAAATAAAAGATTTAGAGCTTGATTGATTGTAATAAAATATCAAAGACTTAAATGATTATTAAATTTTTGTTTAAGGTTTTTTTTTTTTAACCCTTATGCCTAAAAAATTGATAAAAAAATTACATAAAATTTAGAGAAATTAAGACTCTTTTTTCTTATTATTCTTTGCTATAGGTTTTTTTTGGTTATGCTATATATGTTTGGCTAAAATTAAGCAAATTGTTGAAAAAGAATATTAATTCAAATACTACACTAGTTTTATATAAAAATGAAATTATAATACTCTATGTTTGTGATTTGAAACGTTTAATTTTGCAAAATTTTAATATATCTTTCGTAGTTAACATAAATATTATTTTTTCACTAATTTTTAATAAATTTTAATCACCGTTCATTAGCATCATTTTCTCAATTCATGACTAAGTCTTAAACACGTAAATAATAATGATAAATACATTGAAAAATAAAAAACACGGCGCATAAACAAGCCAATTGATCTACCCCGTAAGGAAGAAAGCTTGTGACCGATGCTTTCCAACTTTTCATAGTAAGCTAGCCACCATGATTTGATGAAATACAAAGAAAGCTTGTGACCTCCAATTTCCAACTTGAATTTTCCACAAAAAGCATTTTATGATCCATTGAAATCCGATAATTGTAGAAAGAAGAACTAAAGACTTGACAAAGGAGTCAAATCCACCAAGTCTATGGAATAAGTCCCACGCCCGGGAATTAAGACTTTTGGTCTTAGAAATGAGAAAAAAAATTACAAAAAAATTACAAAAAATTTAGAGAAACCAAGACTCTTTTTTTTTTTTTTGCTATAGTTATTTTATTTAATTTTTTTTGTATATTGTTAGCACATAAAATTAAGAAAATTGATGAAAAAAGAATATTAGTTCAAATATAAAACGTGATTTTATATAAAAATGAAGTTATATAAAAATCTATGAAAGAAAAACATTTAATTTTGCAAATTAAAATTTCATATATCTTTTGTAGTTTAGGTGGTTTTGAAATTAGAAGAGAAGTTTTT